ACATGTATATAGCAAATCCCAAATACACCGTTTGGTGGTGTACCTGACAGAGGTGGAACGTACAGATTAGGTAAAGTAACAGGTGACATATACTATGTATCGGTATCGGATTCGACCCGGAACTTGTTAATTATTGGTAATATTAATTATGTGGATAACAAAAGGGCATGGAATGATGTAAATTTTAATCAACACCATTGTCCTATATTAGTTACATATAAAGTTGAATTCTTTGATTCGTCGTTTTTACCCAATGCCGGCTAACAAATTGGACCTCGTTATTATAGTATTATAGATTGTACAATTTAAAATCGTTTTTTTCCGTTCTTTTTCTTGTTTCCTAATTTTTTATGATTATGAGGTACAAAAACATTGTAGGCATATCTCTACGGCAAAGTTCCGAACCAGACCTAGCTCATTTCAAAGGTGTTGACTGAGGCTATTCGCCACTCAAATATTTTTTTTGGGATCCGGGCCCGTCTTGACACCACAGTGGTTCAAAGTTGCCTCTTAACTTTTTTTCATATCAACCACACGTTCGGTACTCCTCGGAATATCAGGTCCCTATGGCAAAGTTCCGAACCAGACCTAACTCATTTCAAAGGTATTGAGCCAAACTATTCTCCACTTAAATATTTATCTGGGATCCGGGTCCGTCTGGACACCACAGTTTGAGTTATATGTCACTTATTTGTACTTGCACATTTGACATGGAAAATTTCAGTTTTAGATTAAGAAATTGATAATGTTGCTTGCCGTACAAAATAGTCCACGTATGACTTTTATAGAAATAGTTATTCACATTTAAAAAAAAGATAAACATAACATGTATATCGAAATGTTTTCATTTCATATATAGATATAAGAAGATGTGGTATGAGTGCAAATGAGACAACTCTCCATCCAAGTCAAAATTTATAAAAGTAAACCATTATAGGTCAAAGAACGGTCTTCAACACGGAGCCTTGAATCATACCGAACAGCAAGCTATAAAGGGCCCCAAAAATTACTAGTGTAAAACCATTCAAACGGGAAAACAAACGGTCCAATCTATATAAAAATCGAGAAACGAGAAACGAGAAACACTTATGAACCACATCAACAAACGACAATAAATGAACATCAGATTCCTGACTTAGGACAGGTGCAAACAATTGCAGCGGGTTTAAACGTTTTAATGGTACCAAACCTTCACCCTTATCTGAAACAATAGTGTTGCATCACAACATAGAAAGACACATTATAAAATATCAATTGAAATGGCTTAACTTAACCAAAAGACATATTAACACCAGTGAACATACACTGAACAAATAAATTTGATCTATAATACATATTTATATCTATATATGTACAGAAATAGATATTGAAATGATTTCAACTGAAATACTGGATATTTGAGGTTGCCGAGTGTAATAGAAATATAAAAAAGAAGATGTGGTATGATTGCCAATGAGACAACTATCCACAAGAGACCAAATGACACAGACATTAACAGCTATAGGTCACCGTACGGCCTTCAACAATGAGCAATGCCCATGCCGCATAGTCAGCTATAAAAGGCCCCGAGATCACAAATGTAAAACAATTCAAACGAGAAAACTAAAGGCCTAATTAATGTAAAAAAAAAATGAACGAAAAACAAATATGTAACACAGCAACAATATTATTTTCCTGTCGTACAATGCATCTTTTTTTTTCAGTTCATAGCAATATATATATATAACGATTCCTCACAACTTACTTAAATTCATTCTTAAATATTGTAGTTGTACTTTTTTATTTTCTCTTCCTACATTGTTTCTGTACCCCCTAATCATAAGGAATCAAAAAACGAGAAAAGAACGAAAAAAAACCCCGATTTTAAGATGTACAATTCTTTTTTAAACAAATAGTGTACTCTGAAAAATGAGTGGCTGCTCATTGGTATATAAAACGGATTGTCATCTTTTGAGAATCACGACAAGCCGTGAAAATGTCAAATTCCGCTGCCAAAGGAGGTGCTATTATATCTAACTAACATTTTGGAATTTTTTGAACGTTTGAATCTTATACAGTTTATTGGTTTTTAGACATATTATTAAAATTGGCTGCTGGAAAAAAAAACAGATGCTACCTTGATTGGCTGCTGGAAAAAAGCGGCTGCTACCTTGATTAGCTGCTTTAAGTGGCTGCCAGCTTGAGTCTGGTAACTGAAATGCTGATTTTTCAATAATGAGATATCGAAAAATCCTGCAGCGTCCAAATAAACTGTTAATTGTCAAAATGTGCTTCTGATGCAGTACAATTCAATGTTATTGATGCAAAGCAAAAAGGAAGTGTTTCATAACGCTATAATGGATACATGAAAGTAAAGATAGGTCGATAATTATATTCTCTAAAACAACCGAACAAGGTACAGAGAAGGAAGTATAATACATTTAAAATACAATGGTTGTTCTTGTGTATAATTTGGAGTTTAGTATGACGTCCATTATCACTGAACTAGTATACATATTTGTTTAGGGGCCAGCTGAAGGACGCCTCCGGGTGCGGGAGTTTCTCGCTGCATTGAAGACCCATTGGTGGCCTTCGGCTGTTGTATGCTCTATGGTCGGGTTGTTGTCTCTTTGACACATTCCCCATTTCCATTCTCAATTTTATTGAAGGTGATACAAACATGTTTTTTTTCAAAAGAGATAATACAAAGCATATCGTTAGCCATGTTTAAACAAAAACTAACTCTTTACAAATATCGTTCGCCCAACGTTTCTTTCTGGACTTACCTTCTTCAGTAATGCCCAAATAAAAAAAAGGAAATCCGGGGATGTATACACTTTTAAAAAAAGATATATGACTAAGAATAACGTAAACAGAATGCATTTATGGTTACTATGGTAAATAGAAGTCCACCCGCAGCTGTATCGATGCATTTTTTAACTACATCAATTGATATGACATGAAAATAACAGTATATAAATTTGGTGTGTTTAAGGTAGATTCCTTGTATACCGCCATCTTGGATTGTACAATTGCAGTACACAATTGGTCTAGTTCTCTGCCTAAATCTGCACATTTTGAGACAGATTTGCAATTAATGTCTAAGAATGTTAATTTTTATAAAGAAAAATAAGTGATTTATTGCATAATTCAAAATGTTTATACAAAAACCAAATATTTATGTTTTAAGAATCAATTTTTCAAATATGCCATTTAATGGGAGATAACTCTGATAATAATTTTCTTTTACTGGAATGTTAGTGAAATTTTCAAATTTTATTTGTAGCAAGAAAAAAAGTTCGTCGACACCCTTTTTTCTGTTTATTTTCTTAAAGCATATAATAAAACCTATATTCTCATACTTTATTTCAAAATTCTATCTCATAATTTTAAGTAAGCTTTTATTCACAAAAATATGTTTTTTCGTGAACAATCTATGCAAATTTAGGCAATTTTGCACGACTTGCAGCTTGAAAAATAGCACGGTGACCCACATGTTTTACTAAATTTAAAAAAAAAGCAGCATTATTATAAGTACTTCATTTTGTCAAAGTATAAAATTCTATCTGAGGCAATATATACCTATGATCCACCTTAAAGCTCTGTTCAATAAACGATTATCTAAGCGTATGGTGTATACAGTTACCATTTGTACATGGAGTTCAAATTTTTTAAACAAACAGACAGAACAAATGCCACTTTTAAAATATTCATAAATAAGAAGTTACTTTTACATTGTAAATGAATCAACTTTCGTTTGCTCTAGTTTTTGTGAAAATTTATTCAAGCATAAAACACGACAAATATCAAATTGATTAAAATAGTTAACTTCTACAGTTCAGTAAGATTCGAATATGCATATATAAACATTATCATGAATAAACGGTACCAAATTTACTTCACTAAATGGGCATTTCGACTGAATGTCTCTTCGGTGATGCTAGAGTCCAAAATATTTAAAATCCAAAACTTATTAAAAAATGAAGAGTTGATAAAACCAGATAGGAAAAAAAGTATAGCCAATATAATACTTTCCACAAGATATCAAATGATACAGAAATCAACAACTATAGGTCACCCCGTACGGACATCAACAATGAGTAAAACCCATACTGCATAGTCCGCTATAAAAGGCCCCAAATGACAAAAGTAAACCATTTCAAACGATAAACTAACGACCTGATTTATGAAAGAAAAACAAATATGATATACAGCAACAAACGGTAACCACTGAATTACAGGCTCCTGACTTGGGACAGGCACATGCAGAATGTGGCGGCGTTAAACTAGTTTGAAGGCGCGCCCATCCTCCCGTACCATGGGACAGTGGTGTAACAGTACAACATAAGAACAAACTATAACATAAATTAGGCCGTTAGTTTTCTCGTTTGAATTGTTTTACATTTGTCATTTCGGGGCCTTTTAAAGCGACTATGCGGTATGGGTTTTCTTCATTGTCGAAGGCCGTACGGTGACATATAGTTGTTAATTTCTGTGTCATTTGGTTTCTTGTGAACAGTTGTCTAATTGGCAATCATACCACATCTTCTTTTTTATATATAAAAATCATTTGAAAAGGGGTTAACTCGTCAGATCGATACAAAGCAGAAAAACATCTAACAAAAACACAGAGTGGACGTGGCAGGGTACTTAAACATCCCCACAACAAAACGGTGGATGATTTAAGCTGATACTTTTCCTCCTGAAAGGAAAAAAATGTAATTCATTTTTATTTTTGTATCCTAGTGATTCTTTTTTCTCAGCCTTTGGGTAAATGAAATGAATAAACAACTTGTGAAAAATATTTACAATTCTAATAGAACGCAGATATGTCGGTATCACTCTTAAATCGCATACTTTCTTTATAACTCTACAACACACCTCTGTCTTTAACCCAATAAAATCGATCATAATGATTTTTAAATCATTCTTTATTTAGAAATGCAAATTTTAGAGTACTGATACTGTATATACAATTACATTTCTATTTAATCATTTGTACTAGTAGATACGTGTTGATGTCAATCATTTTAACGTCCTATCTCATGCCACAAAATCGGGTATATACAGACAAATTATGCAAATAAGTAAGTGCCTGCATGATATATAAGCGTGCACACAGTCAATTGACAGTATTACCAAATAAGCTTACACAGACTAATTTTATCAAGGAAAAGACATTCCAAAGGTAAATTCGTGTACATTTTTTAATTCATATTAGATGTTTTATTTTTATTCACGTTGGTTATTTCAATTTCAATTTGACTTTAATTTGATACCGCAATTATTATAAAAAAAACAATACTTTAATTGTTCAGAAATCACTGTGATATATATCAAGTAGAATGAATCTACTAAAATAAGTTAAAGTTGACTTAAAATACCTAATAGAAAGTATTGTATAAACCATGTGTGTATATGAAATAGACTGTCGATCTGTCAAATTCTAATGTTAGCTGGCAAAACTGATTTCTGAATTGATTTGAAAAAAAATATATTTTGGAGCATTAACAAAAATTGTACAGTTCAGTCAGTTGATTTTACGACGTTTTTAATTTTTAAAAATTAAATCTAAATAATTTTTTTTTTTATTTTAAAGCAAACTTTAAAATTGAAGATTCTTTTGAGTTTATGAAATTATAACTTTCTTGTTGAGTTTTGACTTGGAAAATCAGTACATCTGTAACCCACACTATATTTTATACTTATGGTGTAGAACTACTAATACGGGCCCGGTAGGAAAGAACATATTTAAAACCAAATAGTTCCTACGCAAAGCAGTATCTTTGTCAATAGGTGAAATATTTGGGTAGTTTTGGTATCAAATGAAAGTTTGGGGACTTGGAATCACTGCCGAACCCTTAAGTTTGTTCGAAATTTTTTTTTTTAATAATAAAAAAAGTATACAAGATTATAAGAGGAGGGCACATTTGCCCTGTTGTTCAGATTGGAAGTATCTTTTTTTGTACTGTCAGACTTCCGGGAACCAGTACGCTCTAATATGCAATTAAAAGTATGTTGAATTTTTCAGCACACGTCAGGATTAGGTATAGTTGTGCAATGAAATGACTGCCACTTTATTTTAACTTAAGACAAAGTAGCCATTAATGCTTGAAATTGCAGAATTTTGATATATTATAAAAAGAAGAGAATAATGGGCAAAATAAATAAGGAATGAAGAATGGTCTAAAAATATTTAAGGAATGACTGTAATATTTTTTCTGTCTATGAAGAAATAACATAAAAAATGTGGTGCACACTGAATAACTCGCGTAGCGGGTTATTTTAAATTGTGCACCACATTTTTTATGTTATTTCGAATAGCCAATCAGAAGACGCGTTACATCCAAAATTAAATTATTAAAGAATAAATAAATGCAGGACCCCCATCCACACCCTCATAGTCTGTTTGACAGATAGGAATATGTGTGAAACATTCCTTAAATCATTAAAAAGGGTCTTTTAGACTAAAGAGTAATTACCAATGGGATTATTTTATCTGTTGCACTGCTTGTTAAAATGCGAAATAGTCCTTGTTTTGAATGATAACTGGAATTCGAACTTTGGTCGCAGGTCAAAAGGATTGACCGTCAAATGATATAATTCTGTTTTTAATATTGCAAATCTCTTTCATGATCGCTTGAATAACATTAACGGCACCAATTGTGGTCATTTATATAATTAATGGCTCTTCAACGCAAATATACTTTAAAATTTTAAATGTTGCAAAAAATTTATAACATTATTTTTTTCTTCAGAGAGATGAAGTATACAGTTTTAGCATTGGTCTGCATTGTGGTTGTGAATGGGTACAGTTTCAAGCGTACTGATGAATCCAGAAAGCTTGGAGAAAGGGAAAAGTTGGTTTTAAAAAAAGCTGGTATCGAATTGGCCAAAAGTGACTTCGACAATGACGGTGCAGAAGTTGCTGAATCAGAACTAGATATTTGTCTAGAATTTCCAGTAAATGAGATCGGAGAGTGCCTGCTTGATGCGGGTAAACCCCTTTGTAAAGGAGAAACTGCTGAGAAGTGCGAAAAAATCGAAAACCTCATACAGTTAACGATCGCTGTTGGTAAAAATATACTGGAAAGTGGGTGCCTTGCTAAGGAAGTTGCAGATGCTGATATCGAACCATGTCTCGAAGGTAAATGTATACCAATATGCAATAATGTTTGCGATGATTTAGGGGCAACCAAAGAGGAATGCAATTGCGAAAAACTTTGCGAGGATGAGGAAAGAGAACTAGAAGGTGCAATAGAAGAACTCGAGAGTGAAGAAGAGAGGTCTGCACGTTTAAGTAAGCTCAGAAAACTTAACCTTTTCCGTTCTGTGTTAAACAAAAGATACTTCGGAAATCTGATCAAGAGAAAGTAGTAGCCACCATTAATCAAAAAGCCCGCATGGACAAAAATTCCGAAAGGACAACAACTTTGCAATGAATAGTTTGTAATGTTTAGAAAAACTTTTTAATTTATAAATATTTGCATTCATTATGTCTTTATTTTATTACAGTTTGCAGTATTTTAGTATTGTTATGTTCAACTTGGCGTTTGCTTTTGTTGTACTTCAGTTTTTCTGTTGTTCCGTTGTTTTCCTCTAATATTTGATGTGTTTCCCTCAGTTTTAGTTTGTTACCCGAATTTATTTTTGCTTAATCGAATTATGACTATTGAACAGCGGTATACAACTGTTGCCTTTATTTAGAATACATTATCATTGTCAATTGCATTAGTGTTTATACGATGTCACATATCGACGTCATCAATATGTTTCAAACAATATGTTTCAAACAGTTTTTCAAGCTTGGCTTATTGACGTATCCAAGGGGTAGAGGGTGAGGGTGTTCCGTGGGTTGGAAACTTCCCCTTTTTCGTTCTTTTTTTTAAACTATGTGAACATTTCATAGTGTTCCAGGGGTTGGAACCCCGCCATTTTTCAAAATGACTGGATGCGCGCCTGGACAGGTTTTTGCATGAATGTTATTCATTGAAGAATATATTCATCACTATTGATGCGTTTTAAAACCTATGTTATGAAATACCTAGTAAATTATAAAAATTAACATTTCTTTTTGCTGTGTGTTTGTTTATTCCACATTGGATAGAGGTATAGGGGAAGGGTTGAGATCTCACAAAACATGTTTGACCCCACAGCATGTTTGCGCCTGTCCCAAGTTAAAACCTCTAGCCTTTGTTAATCTTTTGTGTTCTTTTAGTTTTGGTATATTTGAATGTTTCTGAGTTTAGTATTGCGTCCATTTTTCTGAACTAGTATGCATAATTGTTAAGGGCATACGATACAGTAGAGATCCCTCGTTGATTTTTTCTTGAAATTTTGATAGAAGGTCAATTTCGATGTGTACTTTTGAAATATGCAAAGAAAAATATACCTTCATGACTTACTTTTTGAGATAATTTGGTTTGAAATTTGCATATTTGAAGGGAAAACCCTGGATTTCATAAATAGGACTTTTAAAGAAAGTTACAATACTTTTGAACGAACAGTCATAACTTAACCGGGTTTTTTGTAAAATGTTCCCTTGATCCATGGCATAACCATGCTGTAACAAGTTTAAGGTTAAACAAAATTGTTGTTTTCTGAATTTACTTTACTATTAGTGAAATAAAGAAATTGACAATATTTTTGCGTCTATACAGAAGTGCAGAAAAAAATCGATCGTTGATTTTTTCTTAAAATTTTGGCGGAGTGTTCTTTAAATATTACTTGATTGATTGCAAAAGAAAAAAACTGGGGGTCCATGTGCTTGTTTTTTCAATAAAAGCAATAAACTTTATTTTTAATTGCAAACAGGACGTTTGCCAATAGGGCGCTAAACTACGTTGAAATAAGTTTTAATCGCCATAACGTCGTAAAATCATTCCCGCCGTTCATGATTACGCTGTCAAGTTCAGTGGTATAGCCAAGTTTTTTTTTAATTCGAAAGCAATGATATTATTCATCAAAATTTTTAAAGCTGGTTACTCGTAAAATAGCATAAAATATTTGCCAAACCTTTATGAATTGTTACGAATCTTGGACATGTTGGATACAAAAAGTATTCTAGTAAATTACTTTTAGAAAAGAAATGTTCGGAAACATAAAAAGATAAATTTGATAAAAATAAATATTTCATAATCAAAACATAATAATAACAATAAAAATAAATGGGGAATGTGTCCATGGGACACAGATGATGCCCCCGCTTGCATATAACGTTATAAAGGGATATAACTCAAGAACTGTAAAAGTGACGCTACCCAAATTTGTACTTGATCTGAGTTTTGTGGTAATAAGCATTGTGCATAAGTTTCATAACATTTGGTTGAGGCAAACTAAAATTAGAGAGCAGAAACCAAATATTTCAGAAATTTTTCCATTTGTTAAGGGGCATAACTCTAGAACGGTAAAAGTGACCCCACCAAAATTCAAACTTGTCATGTCTTCTTTGACTGGCCATGACGTTAAATACTAAATCCCTGGGATGTGTTTTAGTTAAGAAATAATTCATGGAAGCCATAGATTTGTTGGAAATTTACACATGGCCTGGGCCGTGATATTCGAATTTTATCCTGAGCGTTAGCGAGGGATAAAATTAACGAATATCACGGCCCAGGCCATGTGTAAATTGACAACAAATCTATGGCTTCCATGAATTATTTCGATTCTAATAGGACAAATACGGTCATTAAAAAACTGAAGCGAGGGTGACTATGCCGTGTTTGTGGCTGTTCTTTTTTACTCCCTGTTAGCCTAGACCTCCAACATTCTAATAAATCGGTAGCTTGCATTGATTATTTCGTGAATAACCGCTAGAAAAATATCTGTTTAATTCTTTTAATTCTCAAACCCAACATTTGCCATTTTTAATTTACATATTTTTCTTGGAAGCTTCCGTCAAATACAAAGTTGACATTTCGTAACTAAGGATCCGCCATGTTGACTTGCTGAAATCAGTAAATATGCGAACGATGCAAGAGAATAGAAAATAAAACAAAACCTACCTCAAAAATCCATTTTGATACAATAATATACGAATTTCGATGATTCACGTAACGGAAAACCTTCAACTCTAGTGTGTTCATTTGTATGACGTCATATTTTGAAATGACTTAAATGCGCCAAAAACATTAATAGACTTTCGCGGAATTTTATTTAATTTTGAATTTGTTGATTTTTCCCAGCTCTTGTGCATTAATTCTTTTTATTGTGCATCCAAATAAGAATAAAAGTTCTTTTGTCTTTTTTAATTACAATTTTTAAAACAATAAAATCGGCAAAGCTCTTGCACATAGGTTTCAATACATGTGGATTTACGTGGGAGGTATATTACACCATCCATGATTATGTATATCTCTGAGTTTGCGCTAAGTATAGATATATCGAGAATTTTAGCACGGTGTTGTTTACAAAGCGAAAGAAGCACGTCATATTAGAATTGATTTTAGTCTCTGATGCATGATTTTTTATCATTAATTGTTTTGGCTTTTAACTAGCTGTCAGTAACTGCGAGTACTCTCAAATCGTACTTTCTTGTTTATTTGACCTGTTGATACTAATTGTAATGCTTTTTTGTTATTTAATGTTATTCAGGGTTATATCTGGTCTATATACCAGCTTTGATAAGTGTTTGGTATAACTATAAATTTTCACTTCGTACTATGAACATCAAAATTATTTATTTTGTAAAAATATTTCTTTTCTCCATTGGTACTATACACGTATACCTAACAACAAAATTATTTTCATTTACCTGTGTTTAAAGTTAGTGCAAATGGCTGATATTTTTGTTCGAGCATATTGTTTTTCTTTAATTGTTTAACATTTCTTACCGATATAACATGTTACTTTTATTATTCTTCCCTTAGTTTATTTATTTTGTATTTACATTGTGTCATAGGTCAAATTTATTTGTTCAGTGTATGTTCAATGGTGTTAATATGTCCTTTGATTGAGTTAAGCTATTTCAGTTGATATTTTATAGTGTGTCTTTCTATGTTGTGATGTTACACTATTGTTTCGGAAAAAGGGTGAAGGTTTGGTACCATTAAAACTTTTAAACCCGCTGCATTTGTTTGCACCTGTCCTAAGTCAGGAATCTGATGTTCAGTAGTTGTCGTTTGTTGATGTGGTTCATAAGTTTTTCTCGTTTCTCGTTTTTTATATAGATTAGACCGTTGGTTTTCCCGTTTGAATGGTTTTACACTAGTAATTTTTGGGGCCCTTTATAGCTTACTGTTCGGTATGAGCCAAGGCTCCGTGTTGAAGACCGTACTGTGACCTATAATGGTTTACTTTTATAAATTTTGACTTGGATGGAGAGTTGTCTCATTTGCACTCATACCACATCTTCTTATATCTATTGATCTGTGTTTTGTGGTAATAAGCATTGTGTATAAGTTTCATAACATTTGGTTGAGGCAAACTAAAGTTAGAGAACGGAAACGAAAAATTCAGCAATTTTTCCATTTGTAAAGGGGCATAACTCTAGAATGGTAAAAGTGACGCCACCAAAATTCAAACTTGATCTGTGTTTTGTGGTAATAAGCGTTGTGTATAAGTTTCATAACATTTGCTTGAGGCAAACTAAAGTTAGAGAACGGAAACCAATTTTGGGACGTACGTACGTACGTACAGACGGACAAGGGTAAAACTTAATGCCCCCTCCGCTTTGGCATAAAAAATAATTTGCATCTCAGTCCGACATTAGTACTTCAACTCATGCAGACAACACAGCTTGTGCATATTTTTAATTATTCAAAAGGTCCCAACATGACAAAATATATAACAAGCAATTATCAAGTAAGTGGGATAATATAAATAAGGACAGTTGGTATGATTGCCAATGAGACAACTATCAACCATATTTCAAATTACGAAGATAAACGCAATTAAGGGTCACCGCACGGTATTCACCAAAAAAAAAAGCCTCACTGTTTAGAAAGCTTTAAAAAGCCCCGACATGAAAATGTGAACAATTCAATCAAGAAAACTATCGGCCTACTATATAGGCATTATATGTACACAAAACCATACCCACATTAACTCGGGTCAGCTTAGAACTACTCTGAACATGTTCAAAAAGGTGTACATTTAGAGCTGTTTCGAGCAAATTCATGTCGTAATTGTCTCAATAAAGTCCATTACGGTGTAGTTTAACATTTCATAGGAAGTACAGCAGTCGGTATTAGATCATGAAATTGCATGATTTTGTATCAATAGGTAAGTTGCCTAAGTTTATTTGTCTTCAGGGTATTTTTATACCCCCGCAACTGAAAGTTGGGTGGCATATTGTTTTACACCTGTCCGTCTGTCCGTCCGTCATTCCGTCTATAATACGGGGCTTATAACTGTGTCTTTTAAACTGACAGTTCTTTTTCATACACATATGTATAATTTTCCACTGGGTTAAATTCTAAAAATGCCGTTAACCCTCTTGCTGCCAAAGGGACATTTATGGCTTCTACACACAAATCTTGTTGATTGTGTAGAACGTCAAAGGTCCATGGTAACGTCACAATACTGAGGGGCACTGACAACGTCAAAAGACGGCGCCAAAAGGACGATTTTGGCGGGAATGAAGCAAACTGAATAAAATGCATTATTTGTATACTTAAGACGGATGTCAAAAATTGATACAGGATCATAAGCTTGTTAGTACTAAAATACCAACTTATTTAACGTGTTTACTAGTTCGTCATTTTCATGTAAAATGTTGCATACTTTCGAGAAATTTGTTAAACGTATTTTTCATACATCTTTCAATCAGAATATCTCATATAATAATCGCATTCCTAATAAATAATCATAGAAAAGGTAACTGTTATACTTGATTACGCGAAATATTAATATTCACAATACACGCTTTATTTAAGAGAACTGGAAAATTTCTTTAGGGCTCAAATGCCGCGATTGAATTCTCAGTGAAGATTTTTTTTGTAAAAGTACACAAATGTTACCCGATATACTTGTATTGCCATACGATATTTCAATACATTTTATACCCGTTTCATCATTGAAGCACTAATCTACAAATATTTATTTTCATTCGAAATGGGGATGATTAATTAGTAGGTGACCCAATGATTTCTTTTCCTATCCTACATATCATCCTTTCCCAGTGACAACCTCAATTTTCAGCCATTCATCACAGATCTTTTACTTTGTAGGACCCACTGAGCAACAGATTTTTTGTACATTAAATTTCAGACGTCCTTAATATTGCATGAAACACTTGCCACTGAACGTTGAGAGGAGAACAATTTATCAATCAACAGATTTTAAAAGATATTTTGTGTATGCCAATTACAGTGTGTACTTCATCATAGAAAATGAAAAGGAATTATTATTGATTCAGGTTCATTTGTAGACAATAGAAATTAATTTTAGAGATTTTTTTCCCTCGCTTTTCTGTTTTTTTTTTTAATTCGTATTTTCAAACATTGCTCTAAAATTTTGAGCAATAAGTGTTCAACAAAATAATAATAAACATGATAAAAAATAAACAAAATGAATATGGATAATAACGTCTATAAAAATTATTTTCTCGCCTACCAAAACAATGCTCCGTGTTGAAGGCCGTACCTTGACCTATAATGATTTACTTTTATAAATTGTAACTTGGATGGAGAGTTGTCTCATTGGCACTCATACCACGTCTTCCTATATCTATTGGAATGAAAATTTTAATCTGACACGTTTGATACTTTACAACAAGAAGTAGTTCATAGAATCGGCTGCTCGGAGTTTTTATTTATTTTTATTTGTACACGCATTGTTTTTATTTTAATTTTTATTGGGGGCCGTTATTTTGTTTATATAATTATTTGAGAGATTTTTTTACTGTATTTATCAATTATAACTTTATTGCAAGGTTAAAAGTTGTATTTTTAAATAATATTGTATTAAAAACATCGTTTATAACAATCTTAGAGCAATAGTTTTCATAAAATTACTTTTACATCGCTTTTCATAATTACGGCTACATTGACGCGGGAAAAATGATGGACGGCGGGAAAGCGCTGTTCTACAGAGTGGCACAAGTTTTGCAACGTCACAGATATGAAACGTCAAGATGCTTTTGGCGCGACAAAGCAAGAAAAAAACTCGGCAGCAAGAGGGTTAAACTTTTTAATGTACTCATTCAAAGTCAGGTGCAGTATGAGGCGTTGTCTTTATTAATCATGTTATTTTGTCATTTTGTTGATAGTCTGTTAAATTTATTTGCACAATTCTCCATACAGTTTTCCAAATGGTGTAGATATTATATATAGATCAAGACAGTACGTTAATATCTAAATTACATTTAATTACTTATTGGTCTTTTTGTTTAGTTGGGTTTCTGTCTCATCGACGTATCATTATTTGCATATCTGTTATTCATTTCCTATATGAAATAAAACATATACAAGAGTATGAATGTGGATTTAATTTTTTTTTCACATTTCAAGTTAATACTGTTGACCTCAATATTAATGAATGAATATAACAATTTTCGTGATATGGCCGATTTTCTTGGCAAGTACTTTTTTTTCAAATTCGCGCAACCGGATTTGTGACGTCACTGGATTTTCCGCAAATGTGACTACATTTAAAACGACGTCGCGAAATGTAATCGTTCTTATTAGAAACTTCGCGAAATTACAACGTTCTGATTAACAACGTCGCGAAAACAACACGAACAGTTTTGAACACGTTATTATCTGCCCCTGCTACTGTATCGTATTCCCTTAAGGTCCCACTTAAGCCTGCTTACGAGTACGGGATTGTCTCACTGCGCTGAAGACCCATTGTTGCCTTTGGGTTGTTTTCTGCTCTTTGGTCGGGTTGTTGTCTCTTTGACACATTTCATGTTTTCATTCTCTATTTTATTTGACAATTTCATCTTGACCGTGTATAAATGTGATATTTTACAACAGCACAGTTTTTATCGCGATGTTTTTAGAATGACTTTACGCGGTATTCACATTTACTTTCCTTAAAGAACTTCAGAAAACGTATTCAAACTACAGCTTACAATGTTGTGTATGTCATAATGACGCTTTAAAGTTATTCGTTTGAATCTTAATTATCGACAAAAACAATAAGTACTCCAGTTAGTTATTATTCTTTAGTTTATTTTGAAAAATAGTTCTGTCATTATCTTACGACGCACACGAATGTCCCTAGTATGGTCAAAGAGTTAATTATCCATTTACGCGCTGTCCATGGTCGGCTGATCGCTAAACATATTTCCTTCGTGAGACAATAACAAAGAAACTTTTATCATCAAGGTGCATAGTAATTACTAACTTGCACTACTTGATACTAATAATCATTTTTCTGAAGGATTTTTTAAATTTAAAGAAATATCGGTATGGCATCAAAATGACGGATATGACGTCACAAAATGCAGTTTGACGACGTTTTCAAAAGTTCTTTACACAACGCAAAAATAGATACCCGAACAACACAAAAAATGAAAACAACACGTTATTAATTTCATGCGTCCGAACCACTTTTCTGGATTTACCTTCATCAGGAACGCTCACATCCGAATATTTAAGGTAGCAATACACAGGAAAAAAACTTAAAATTGACACTCATAATTTTTAATCACCCTCTTTCCCTTCCTTTCTAACTAATAAGGCTTAATATTTGTGTTATGCATGTGTATATTTATGGAAAGAGTATCTTCCATAGATTTGATTTCCAATAGTCATAATGGTGAAAAATAATCTCTTTTTGGTGTAACCATGGCAACAATCTGCATTTATTTGATACAAAATATTGCAAAATGGGGGATAAAAATGTTACAAAAGTCTCCAAAATTTAGTCCAAAGGCAAATTTCAATCAATTAGAGTGATACCTTTCCTAAAACCATAGACATTTATCCATCAAAAGGTCCAAAAAATAATCATATGCATTTCTGCTCGTTTTTCCATGAAATTGAATTGAAAAGATCGAGGGTCAAATCTTTGTTGAAAAACACTACAATAATTTCTGGGCTTATGGGCGGTACGGATGGGAAAATACGGACTGTCAAACAGAAAAATGACCTATAAAACATGCTAAAAACAATCTAGATGTTCAAATAAACCAACTTGGAAGGCTATATTATTCTTCATCTATCTAAAAATCAATTTTATTGTACAAAAACTTTCAAATTTAAAAAATTCACCATGGCCAAAATGCGAAACTAAACTTCTAACTGTGTACACAACGCAAAAAATAGATACCGCGAACAACACAAAAAATGAAAACAACACGTTATTAATTTCATGCGTCCGAAGCACTTTTCTGGATTTACCTTCATCAGGAACGCTCACATCCTGATCCGAATATTTAAAAGCCATTTATGTTTAAGAACAGAAACAGGTGAAGAGCTGTATGAACAAAAAAGTAGCCAAATCCATTTAAGGTCAACATTGCCTGAGGGAGTTAAAACCTTAATTTCGTAATGATTTAAAAATTCATTAACGGGCAATTTAAGAAAAGGTTGTTAAAATCATATCTCACTGAAGTACTGACTACTGAGCAGATAATATCCTCGGGGACTGATAGTCCACCAGCAGAGGTATAGACCCAGTGCTGTAAAAGTAAAACCAACATGTTATTAATTTCATGCGTCCGAAGCGCTTTCCTGGATTGGCAAATTGAAGTAAATAGCTAGCACGACAATGAGATAAACAAACTGACAATGCCATGGCAAAATAAAACACAAAAAAAAGAACAAAAGACAAACAACAATATATTAAACACAACATATAAAATAAATGACTGAGCATCACGAACCCTACAAAAAACCGGCGGGTAATCATAGGTGCTTCGACAAGGTAAGCAGATCCTGCTCCACATGTGGCACTCGTCGTGTTGCTCATGTAAGTTCAGACCCAATAATCAACCCACTTTTCAAAAGAATTGGACCTAGAATTTAGGAGGAGACGGTTTTTGAAAAATATTTTTTTTCTCCTCTCTTCAAAGATTTGCATATCATGTTGATTGGATTGCCCATATGAATGCATTGGTGGTTTATGGTACAAATTAAAACCCTATATATCTTTTGAATTACTTAGCCAACTCTAAACAAACCTTCTTTGCATTTGAATGATGGCAGAGAAGCATTCTTCAAAAGATTCTATTTGGTTCCGGAATTATCACTAACTTTGAATCTGATTGGCCAAATAAACAAAACACTCATTAGTAACGCTCGAATTCGAATCGACAACAAATGTTCCCCTCTGAAAATACACGCATAATCAGCTGAAACCTGCGAGATCAATGAAAACACAACAATCTGAAGCTAAGTTTCGGAAGTTATCTTGAGGGGGTAAATCGGCAGACAAAGCGAGTCCGACTCCTAACAGATGATGAACGACTGTTTAACGTCCAGCGTCAAATCAAATGCATATTCAGGACAAAAGCATGTTAATGCGATATGAATATTAACCCAGCTATGTACTAGACCGGATTTTTAACGTACTAGTTCATAAGGTAATAGTCAGCAAAAGACATGTCACTCTACCCGAAGCCATTATTCTGACTACAAGCTCGCCATTCTTTGCTCTAATTCCTTAATGCTGCAAACTTAGCAGAGAAGCAGCAAATTCGAATTTTAAAGTCTTTGGATTGACCCGGTTGGGGTTTGAACACACGACCTCCAGCACTTGAGGCGAATACGCTACCTCGAGACCACCTTCTTACAGCATATAGTCTGTATTTCATATTGTTTGTAATCAACTATTTAAAAAAACGTTTGAGGCATTTCAATAGATTGAATTCCATGACAATTAATAAACTCGGCAATCAAAGCAGGACTTTGAGAAAGTTCGTAGAGCCGAAAATAGTCTACATAGAAAAACATAAAAATTAAGACTGACCAACAGAAACCCTAACGGGGAGATCTCATGTGCTCCAGAAGAGTAAGAAGATCATGTTTTAAATGAGTCACAGGACGTGTTGCCCTCATAAGTACAAATTCGATGAGAAGACTAATTCTTTCATTTCACATTCGAGGAAAATGGTGTTATTATGGTTACGACAATTTGAATATATCGTTCTTCCGCTTTGAAACAGATGACAACGGATATAGTGAGACATCAGTTACTCAACAACGTATAGAAAAATCATTTATCAACTATGTCATGATAATGATTTATTTTGCTGATCTTAAAGCATATATGAACACATTGTAATGACATGATGTCACCTTCCATGTATTTTTCTCTCTAAAATCTGGATAAAACATTACTGGGAAAGAAGGGATATGATTTATCAATTCATCACTTCATAACACTAGATCCCTACGCATACTTGACAATACCCAAGGCAGAGGAATTTGACACAACCCAAAAAGTAAAATAACAAAAATACCGAACTATAACGAAAAGTCCCTTATCAAATGGCAGAATCAAAAGCTCAAACAAATCAAACGAATGGAAAACAACTGTCATATTCCTGACTTGGTACTGTTTATCAAACTTGGTTTTATAGCTAGCTACACCTCTCACTGACTGTCATGGACTTCCATTATATTAACAACAATGTGTCAGCAAAACAAAGACATAATAGGTTCAAATGTAAAAAATTGGGATACAGCAGTCAACACTGTTTCATAATCTTCATCACTATAAAAACAAACAACTATGTCGAAAAAGAAAAACAAAATGGCATATATGCAGTCTATAGACAAAGTAGATGAGCACAAATGAAAGACAAGAATACAAAAAAATGACCAAAGCATAATAACACAATTACGGAATGTATAAATACCGATCCCCGCCAAAAGTACATTGCCAAAAACAAGAACTAAACAGTTAACGTTAAAAATATACAAAGACAAATACTTAGAACACTATAACACGTAATTAAGATGATACACAACGACAGTACCTAGAATATATACTTCAAGACTATCATTTATTATTTGTAAAGTTGATACGGAATATTTATAAACAAGGTCTTAGTATCTTCCGATGAACTTATTTTTAGAAAAAGGAAGAAACGTTCTTATACATAACTTGGTTCATCAACATTCTGCTCGTTTTATGAAATCTTAGTAGCAGTTGCAAGATCTTGAATACCAAATGAGTTGGAAAAGGTATATCCCATATGCAGATAAGGTTGTTATACTGCTGCTAAGGTTTTCGGAAATTTATAATTTCAAAATAAATATCGTCTCGTTTGTTATAGATTTTGGTACTGAGATGACCGCTTATGTCAAATTCGAGGTATAAGAATATACCTGCATGTGAAATTAAATGATCTGTATAAATAAGAAGATGTGGTATGAGTGTCAATGAGACAACTCTCCATCCAAGTCACAATGTTAAAAGTTAACAATTAAAGGTCAAAATACGGCCTTCAATACGGAGCATTCTCAAATTGGCTCACACCGAACTGCAAGCTATAACAGACCCCAAAATGACTAGTGTAAAACGATTCAAACATGAAAACCAATGTTCTAATCTATATAAAAAAACGAGAAACGAGAAACACCTATGAACCACACCAACAATCTTTTATCTTCTTGTTTTTGACAACTGTCTGAAGGAACTTCGACTATATGAATATAAGAGGAGGTCAGCAAGGAGAGGCGCAGAGTTTGTTTCCATATATATAGGAATGGCGGCAATTTGTTGAAAAAGTCTAACTCCAAATTCAACAAATATGTTGTGAATAAGAACTCCGGCACACTGATCACTTGTTCCTATGCGTAGCATGTTTCACCTTTTTTGTTCACTATCAACAAAATATGCCGTATGGTATCCCAAAGCGACAA